ATACTGATATATATTTTGAAAGCCGTTTTTTTCTAATCGAAAAACTCGAGAACAGCTGTACCGATATTTTTGAAATTTTGGACCTTGACTCTAGACCCTCAAAGGAGGATAATAGAAGAAGAATAATTTCGATACATCAAGGGGGCGTGGCACCTCCCATACACATTCTAATGTGAGAAATTCAGTTTTTATGGGAGGTGCCACGCCCCCCTTTTTAAATAACTACCATTTTTTCCATGAGTTTGGCGTTGATATTATATATCTCTATACTAAGTTCCAGCACTTTACGATGAATACTTCCAGAGATATGTTGTGTGAAAACTTCAGTTTGTATGGGAGGTGCTACGCCCTCTTGATATATCGAAATTGCTTTTGATCTATTACCATCCTTGGATAGTCTGGAGTCGATGCCTAAAATTTCAAGAATATCGGTACAGCTGTTTTCGAGTTTTTCGAACAGAAAAAACGAAATAAACCCGGCTTTCAAAATATGTATTTGTATAAATAACAAATGAAATACATTTTTTAATTAAATCTATCCTATGGACAAATTTTTATGAATAATTTTTTAAATAATTGCAGACATTTGAAATTAATTTCAAGTATTTTCCAAAAAAGGGGAAGCATTTAAACGTGAAATTTGTTTTCTTTCATTTTTGAACATAAATAAATAAAAAAACCCAGATCTTTTTTAAAAAATCGCCAGGAACAGATCGACACGAAATTCAATTATCTTTTATTAAAAAAAAAATTTAAATCGGTTCATATTTGGGCTCTCAAAATTAGTTTGTCCACAGCAACTTTTTTTGCCCCACTGTGCGTCCCAACTACATCAATACTGATGTTTAAACTTAGCAATAGTAATCAAAGTAAGTAGTTTTGATTAGAATTATTTTAGAGTGTTTTTGTTGCCCCAATGCTCAAAAGTACTTAGAAAAAGAAAGGCTATAATCAATCTCTGGAAAGTTTTTAGTTAATTTCATTCGCTGATTTCTGAGTACAGAACTGCAGTCGATTTCTGAAATAAAATCAGAAGCAAAATATTTCTAGATAAGGGCAAATAAAGTTGTCACCATACTAAAGAAAGATGCAAACATTTGAAAAGGGAATTTGTACCACTTCTTGTAACCGCAATTCTAGGTACCTTGGTACCGCTGTCAATACATTCAGCAATTCAACAATCCCGGCATTGCATATTTCACGGGACATTTTTTTATTATCAGCTTATAGAACGGTAACACATTTTTTTTTGGTTACAAGAGTGCGGGGAATGCAAAAATGGTTTAAAAATTGGCAGGAGATTTATTTACGCGGATTAGGCCTGTTCGCTTCTAACTAAGAAAGAAGATGGGCCGAAGCCCTATGATGTGCAAAAGTTCCAGATAAAAACTCTGTCAAGAACGAGTTAAATTGCCGAAACAAATTTTTTCCTTAGAAATTCGTATGCTGTATAATGGACGACGAAACGCATATTTTAGCGGGCGTCTCTCCTCTTACCGGCAAGGAATTTCATAAAAACGATTTTGGAGTAAATTTTGCTGAAAAATTCAGAGCAAAAAATATAACAAAATGTTCAAGGAAATCCTTTCCGAAGATACTACTTCCATTCTAAGGCTAACATACCTTATTCTTGTTCTTTCTTGGCGCTGTGATCGCCTAAGCGATTTTAATCGAGTCTTAAACTGACGCTAATTGAAAATACCAAATGAAGCCAAGTCATTCTCAGCCTGGTCTTTCCAACGCGGGGTGCCTTCCTCTTCCTCTGTTACCAGCATGGCGACCCGCATTAAATACTTTCAGATCTACAGCACTTCCGTACATTCGAACGACTGTTTTTTCCAAGATTTGGCGTATTGGGAATACCTGGTCTATGGTGGATTTGCCAGGTCTAAAGCCACACTGATAAGGTCCAATCAGTTCGTTGACAGGCTTCAGCTTTCACACAATACACTCGATAAGACCTTGTAACCTATGCTTAGAAGGCTGATTCCGCGGTAAATTTTCGCGTATGGTGGGATCGCCTATCTTGTGGATTGCGCAGAGCCTACTTATACTCCAGTCGGCGGGCATGCGATCATCTAACCATATTGTGCATAAGAGTTGATGCATGAACCTTATCAGCTCCACGCCATCGTACCTGAATAGCTCAGCTGGCAGGCTGTCAGCTCCAGCAGCTTTGTTGCTTTTCAGCCGCGTTACTGCTATTCGTACCTCGTCATAGTTTGGCGGTGGAACATCGACTCCGTCATCATCGGCTGGGAGCTCGGCTTCGTCTTCTCCACAACTTTCCGTGCTGCTACCATTCAGTAGGGGGGAAGTGTTCCCTCTATGATTTAAATACCCTCTGGACGGCAGTCACTAGTTCGCCGTTGGTTTTATCACAAGAGTTCGCCCTGGTCTTAAAACCTTCCTTAAGTCGCCTAACGGTCTGGTAAAATTTTCGGTCTTTTTTCCTGTCGGCCAGCATTTCAAGCTCTTCGCACTGACGTGTTTCGGCCTCTCTTTTCTTATTGTGGCAAATACGCCTCGCTTCATTCTTGAGCTCCCTATGATGGTGCCACGTGGCACCTTTTTTCTCTGCAGCTTCTTGACAATCCTCATCGTGGCAGTTGTTCTTTCAAGCTCGCTGAAATACGACTACTTCTTCGTCGGCGCTACTTAATAACCGGGAAATGTGGTTCCACTGCTCGTACATGTCGGTTTGTTGAAGAGTGTTCCCTGAGAGCAGGTATGAGAGTCGAGTAGCGAATGCATTGGCCGCCAGTTGTGGTTGCAGCTTTTCGACGTTAAGCTTTCCTTGCATTATTGGGCGCATATTTCTTGCTACACAGAGATGGGTGCGTATCTTGGCAGCAGCAAGATAGTGCTGCAAATCGATATTTGGGCCTCGGAGCCTACGTGCATCTAAAATACTGGAAGCGTGCCTTCCGTGTTTCATAACATGATCGATTTAGTTTCTCTTATCTTTTTATGCCGGAACATACTACCATGTTTCGGGCCCCGGCGAAGTCGATCAGCCAAAGGGGTGCCAAAGATCCCTTACTTTCTCACCTTGGCAATGAAATCGCCAAACACGATTTGGATATCGTGTCGGGGACAGCGCTCATATATACGCTCCAAGGGCTCATAGAAAAGACGCCTCGCCATTCTCTTCCGTCGGGCATGGGCGGATTGTGGCTGGACGTTCGTCCACCGGGGTGAACGCCAGAGCTCGGCGATGGAGTTTTTCTCTGACCACAAATGCAACACCAAATTTGCGCTCCTTTACGTGGCAACTGTAGTAGACGTCGCAAGACTCTACGCTTACCTTGCCTTGCCTCGTCCATTGCATTTCTTGGATGGCATCAACCAGCCGGTTAGAGGCACCTTCCTCATTAAGGGTCCAGATATTCTAGGTGCATAACCTCAAATCACAGTCACTTAAACGTTTGCCGTGGTCGTCGTCGGAAGGGGGTCTAATCTGGGGCTAGTTGTTCGTTTTCATTGGGTGGGGTTTTAACGTGGTGTGATCCAAACCCAGCGCACGCGAAATTTTACGCCTTCTCACTTTAGCTCGCTCCCAAACGGGTTTTTCGTCGCTACCTAGAGGATACGTGGTAATAAATATCCGGAACTACGATTTGAACCGTATGAAATTAAATTCATTTTCTTAGAACATTTCTTTCTCACTTTATATACTAGTTGTAAATGTTAGCTACGCGTTTGGAGATGCCAGAGTAGTTTTGCTTTCTAAGGTTCTCCCTAATGAATAAGGAGCTCATGGCAACTAATAATAATAATAATAACAAGTAAGAAAGTCTAAGTTCGGGCGGAGCCGAACATTAAATACCCGGCGCAAGTATTAAATATATGTTTTCCACCTTTCCGAAAGCTACCGCTACATGATAAGCTGGGGTGTATACATTTTTAGTAAATTAGCGTCCTTAAATTTCGAAATATTGAAATTTCAAGCATTTCTGAAATTTACCGTTATATGAAAAGCGGCCTCAATTTTAGTCCGATTTCAACAATTTTCAACGGTTTGCTTTTATGTGGCAAGCACAATAACCATACCGAGCTTGGTACAAATTGCTAGAACGGTTAGCGAGATACATATATGTGATCACAAGTGGGCGGTGCTACGCCCGTTTTCCAAAATTTTGTAATAAACGTATTTCTTGGTAAAGAATTGTTGCAATCATCAATTTTGAGTAAACTATCTTCAGTAGTTACTAAAATATTGCAGTTTTCGTTTTTCTGAAAATTACCGTTATATGGGAGGTAGGCGTGGTTATTGTCCGATTTTTAAAATTTTCAGCCATTTAGTATGCTGTACAAACGCCAACAACTGTCCCAAGTTTACACGAAATTGGTGTAGCGGTTACCAAGATATACACATGTAACCATAAGTGGGCGTGGCTACGCCCATTTTCCAAAAATTTATAATATTCATGTTTTCCGTCTGAAACTCATTGTAAGTATCAATTTTGAGTGAATTATCTTCAGTAGTTACTAAAATATCGCAGTTTTCGTATTTCTTAAAATTACCGTTATATGGGAGGTAGGCGTGGTTATTATCCGATTTCGCCCATTTTCAATACCATCCGTCCCACGCCCAAAAGAAGTTCACGTACCAAGTTTCGTTAAGATATCTCAATGTTTACTCGAGTTATCGTGTGCACAGATGGACAGACGGACGGACGGACGGACGGACAGACAGTCACCGCTTAATCGATTTCTCTTTTCATTCTGATCATTTATGTATACATTTGTCTATATCTATCTCGATTCGTTTTGCCTGTTACAAACAACCGTTATGTGAACAAAGTTATAATACCCTTGTGCACAAGTGCGCTCGGGTATAATAATGGCGCATACACTTTGGCTAAGTATCTGCCAAGCTTCTCCTCCAATTAGTGGTGTGCGTCTTGATGTTGTTACACCAATGGAGCGACCTACTCCCTAAAGTGCAATAAAATAATGACACAAGCGTATATTTACAGGAAATTTTATCACTAGACTCTAATTAGCAAATTTATTTTAATAATCTTATTTTTTGTATCACAAAATTATTTGGCTTTAGATTAGAATAGGAAAAAAGTTTCAACTACATTTTTAAACCTCATCTTATATAATATAAGTATATTTTTTTAATGCTTGTGGGAGTGTAACCTTGGCACAAATCTTGAACTTGGTTCAATAAAAAATCGTATTCTTTTCTTACTTTTACTACAAACTTTAGTGCAGCCGTTCCATCGAAAGTAGATAACATTTTTATCTACACACTTCCATTTATGTAATCCTATTGCCAAAACTGCAAATCTCCATTAGCGAATAATTACTATGCAGGAATAATCGTTGCAACATTGTTGCCACCACTGCGGCATACCAACGCGTACCGATGCCAGTTTCCACGCGCTGAAAAGTGCTCACCGCACGTCCGCGTCCAGTATTGCAAAGCGATTTTTCACAGCAGGAAGTGCAGGCATATAATTTTGTCCTCTCGCCGATCACAATGCAGCCAGCCTCACAATTGACGGCACAGCGTCGATCCAAGGACCACATTTTTGGCGCGCTGGTGGAATTCTCAGTGCTGGTTGTGTAGGAAAAGCGTTTCACCTGCGAGGGGGGAATATGGAATGTTAATAAAATGGGAGTTGGAAAACTTCTCTGATCGATTACTCTAAAGCGCATACGTATACATATACACATGTGCATATATATGTTCCAAACTTACCATACAAATAAACTCCTCGCCCTTGCATTTGCGTATGAAATTCGAAAGATTACGTGTCGTTACATCCACGCACGCCTCTCCATGGTCCATGGTGTCGCATTCGTAGCAGGAGAGATCATTGATACGCTCGGTGGCAGCTTGTGTACGATGCACTGTATTCGAAATCGATTGTCCATCAGCTGTAAGAAAATGTGCCAAAACTGAGCGTGTATTGATTTTTTCCTGTGCTTTAACCCAATTAGGCAGTTACCTGACTGCAGCGCGGCCAGCGCGACATAAAATAAATATACTGCTATTGGCTGTTTGTGCGGCATCTTTGTGCGATTTCATAAGATTTAGAAGATATGCTTTTAAATGCGATTTATCGTCTTTAAGTGAATTTTTCTTGAAGAGCCCTTTTCTGGCTTTTGTAATATTTACATACCAACGATGACGGCGATGAACTTGTGTTATATAGAGAAAGTGAATAGAATTAGCGAATGTCAAAGGAGTTGTCAACACGTCAAGGACATGCGCAATGCCTACTCAATGCTTGTTCTGGGATTGCTATTGCAGCTACTAGTTAAAGGCACTCGTTGCTCTTTCTACCTGTTTAAAAATCCGTTACGCTTCAAAATTCAAATTTAAATTTATTCCGCTCAAAGGAAGAATTTGAAAACAATTTTTTTTTAAGTTTTATTTTTATTGCATAAGGGCAAAAAAGGGTAACTTGACCCCAATTGTTCTCCTCCAACTAAAATTCTGTATCCGCTCCTGATTTTCAACGAAAAAACTCGACCGTCATAAAGAGTTGTTAGTAAATTCATCCCAAGAAGTATTTGTAATTTATGTCTTTTTGTAGTTTTATTTTCTCTCCCTCTCTCTCTCTCTCTAAACCCCGCTACCAAAGTGATTTTTGACACTTATAAGTAAGTTATTACTTGCAGCTGAACAGGGGGTTCTACAAGTCTTCATGTAGAGGTGGAAACTTTATGGTTTCCATTGGCTGAATACGCCTACCCGTTCTCTGAATACATCTCTAATGCTCATTGTACAGCTGTCAGCGGCAGGTAGAATACAGCTCCATTCCCACAGAAGCTGACTATTTACTCCACCCATTGCACAACGGCCTAAGGAGGCTTGAGCATAGATCTGTAGGCACTTGAGTTCATATAAAACGGCAACTCAAATTTATTTCAAACGAGAAAACGAATTACAAACGATGAATAATTATAACTGACTAAAATGAAAAAAATGTGTATCGACCAACATGACGTTGAATTTGAATTTTTAAAATTAGCACACTGAGCAACTATGTCTCGCTTGTGTACTTGTGTACAGTAGCCATAGATCCACCCGTAAAGAGCTTGAGACGAACAGTTTTCCCGGTCAATAAGTAAACTCATAGGAAATGCAATGTCTACCTCCTCTGATCTCTACCAACCCTAAACCTGGTCCACAGCTCCCTCTCAATTTATTTTGCGAAATCGCAGGTTACATTTTCTCGAGATGTTCATGTGCCTCATAATTAGTACTTTCCGAATTTAGAAGAAAATATTATATGTACGAGTATTAGATATTCATTCACATACTATTTTACGCTGGATAGCAATATGGCCAGTCTCCCAGAACTTTCGAAATTCGAGACATTCGCACAGGAAGTACTTGTGAATTGTATCTCTCCCTTGTCTAAACAATTTCCTGACATCCTTGTGATCATTAGGGCAGAGTTCTTGTCAGTAGATTTATGTTCCTCTTAGTGTTTACCATATCGATGGTCGGAGCATTAGAGACACTACAAATATGTCCAGTTTTATAAGTTCTTACGCTGAACTGATTCTCCTCTTTGAGAGCAAAAGTCTTAAGGAGAGTTTTACTCCTGGACCCAGTTTTACAAGTCTCACAGTTGCTCCCTTCCTCGCGCAACCTTACGCTTCTTTAGTTTCGAAAGCACCACTAATCTCTGGGTTGCTTTTTAGAGGTGGCACTAAACATTGAAACCCGAAAAGTGCGGGGCTTGTCTATCGGCTCATCGCACTAAAACCCCATTCCTGCTCCGGATCACTCGCTCCGTGGAACTAGCGTTAGGTATTATTTCGCGGAAAGACAACGGCCTATTGCCTTTCAATGAAATTCTGCGGAGTTGTTTCGCACACCCGCAATTTAGTTAAAATGATGTTTGCCATATATGGACCAGTTTTCCCCTGACTGAAGCAACGTAGAAAAACATCCCTTTAGATTGCCAACTGCGAACAAATGAAAAAACAGTGTTCGGCGTCTTCAATAATGTCATTTGCACAGAAGGTGCAGTAAGGATTCGTTTGAATTTATACAAATAACATTTAAAACACTCATGTCCCCTCAGTATTTGGATTAGGTAGAAGTCCACTTCACCTTGTGAACTTTCTAGCCATCTTTGTAAAGAAAGAATTAGGCGATATGTCAAGCGTGCCTTACCTGAAGTGTTCCACCGACTCTGCCACATGTGCAAACAATTTTGTTTCGCCGCATTAAGGGCCGCCATATTTACTGGGATTTCAGCCACCTCCCTCGCCAAAATGTGTATATATATATATCACAAGCGCTGCTTCTTCCGACGTTTTTCGGAATGCGCACTGAGTCGGTACACTGATCTTGCCTCTCTTGCGTGTGAAACTTTTTCGAGCGCAACTTACCAGATAGGTGCGCCGCACAGGGAAAGACTTCACACCACGCTTGCGTGCAGCTGCTTGCAGCTGCTTGCATTATTGCCGGGATCCCTCCGCTTTCACCATTTGTCTTGATAGCGCCGCTTCAACTTTTTCTGGTTTCCCTACTGCGCCGTAAGTTTTAGCCTATCGTCAAACATAGTGCCTAGGTATTCGCGGGCAGCTTTTGAGGCGATTTCATGTCTTCCCACTCGCTCTCTTCGTTGCTTGAAAGGGTGTAATATACGTAGCCTCTTCAGTAGGGAACTTCGAAGTTGTGGCCGAAGTCTCCGTCATCTAATAATAAAATTTCTCTGTTTAATCCCAACTCCGTTCGAACTAGAGGCTGTGGGTCAGAGCAAAACCAGCACCCGCCGTAAAACCGTAGACCGTGTCAACTGACACGACCTATCTTATGGGATTCTCGTGTTAACGAAAACTCACCACCGCACGACGATGACGTTGTCGTTGCTTCTCTCTCTCGCTATCAACAGCAATTTTATATGTTGATACGGACGGCAAATGCAGTAGGGCGCTCCGTCGGTGGCTGGTTGAGCTCTCATCATAGAGCGCTCTGTCCTTCAGAGTGTATCTGACGTCACCTTGAGCGTCAAGTTGACTGCTGCTATTATACATATATGTATGCCCTAACAGCCAAAAAGAGGTCAGCGAAATTTTTTTCAAGGGGGTTAGGGGTCGATATGTTGAACCACCAACGTTCCTTGAATTTTGTATTCTTGAGTATCTTTAAAAACGTACATTTACTAGATTTAGCGGCTTCGAATTGCCTGGCTTGATGGCCGAGGGGCCTGCCTTGATTGCCTTAAAACTATGAACTGGAGCTGTTGGTAAATCTTACAAAAAACTTCAGCGGTTAAGGGCATACAACTCGAAGGAATAACGCGAGGCAAAATTTTCGCTGTACGGCGGACCGTGTCAACGATTCCAAGTTTGAAGTTGGCCAATCACGGAATTTGTTTACCGACTGGGTTGATTTACGTTCCACAACTAACCGGAAGCTTGTTCCATAGATAAATTATTTCGATCTTTTTGTAAAATTTTGATGCATTATATTTATCGCATCTATTACAAAAATACAACGCAAGATATAATTGATTCGCTTCCTCGCCACATAGCGAATCAGCTTCGTTACGCAGTTTCCTAGTACAACCTTAAATACTGCAGCGCCTGCCGACTCTGAATTGGATATAGCTCCCCGACGTTAAACATCAGATCAACAATATGAGTGGGACGCAGCATACGCCAAGGCATGAATTGCATTGTCTTCTTGTCGCAGTGAGTGTCATGTTCTATCTCCGCCGGCAGCGGCACCTCGTTGAAGAGCAGACGCCCATCAACGGCGCGTTGCAAAGTACAGGGTAGGCCAATTTGATCGGCTAGCGCCTTGAAAAGAATGGCGCGCTCAAACTGGCAACCAGTGCGCACCATGCCAATCGGTATGAAATTGCAATGCAGCATCCTTGCCAAATCCATAAAATGGCACTTCACAGTGTTGTTACAGCATTCTTCGGTGGTATTAAGGTCGAGTCGTTTCAAATCGCTACTCAGAGCGGCCTCCACAACTTCGGCTATAACTTTGGCGCGTCTTGCCAAGTTATCGAAATCTATGCCACGACTAATTTTCGCTGGATTTTGTAGCAAACCATATTTCTGAAAATACGTGTATGCCGTCGGTTATTTATTTACATACATACTTATAGGAATGTTTGTGATATCTATTTGTTAAATCTAAACTCAAAACTCACCTCCAGTTCCTGGTTCACATTATCAAGTATACGCGGCAGCTCACTATCGCCTGGTTTACGGCAGTAACACCAGGTGACGCCAGTGCGCTCCTCGACAGGAAAGCACTCGATTGGCACCTCAATAACCAGTTCTGGTGGATTAACGGTGCGCTCAAAATTAACCACCAAAATTGGATGCATCGGTGAAACATCCGCTTTTAGAATATGTTGGAAAATTCGGAAATCATCAAACTTTTTCTTGGATACCAGAAAATCATTGCCAGCAGTGCTGTCGGTAAACCCTAGATGATTGCGTATGCAAAACTTGAGACTAGGAGACTTGGAGAGTATGGCCTCAATGGCGGGTCCCCAAGTAGATACACACATAGCAAGCTTTTGATGCATAATAAGACTAGGTTGAAAAAAAATGTGCAGGTTGTTACTGCATTGCGTATGAAGCGATAATATTTCAAACTCACACTTCCAGAACACCCGCCTCGATATATTCGTGTATCATCTCGGGAAAGCGTGTAGTTTGCATAATAAAATTTGTCACTGAAGTTTTTACGAGATTCGAGAGCGACTTGAGGCCACGTATCATGGACGCAGCAATATGGTGTGAGAGCAAAAACGTCCTTATCTGCTCCTCGTCGACCAGCGTGCAGAGGCAACGGAAAATATTGTTCACCAATATAGCTGTCGCGAAGGAGTTCTGTCAGAAAGAGGGAAATGACAACAACAACGTATGAGGAGCCAAAAGTAAAGAAACTCACCTTTAGCATGAGTGCAATATTCGTGGCGAGCAGCGCGTATTCACCTAAAACCACACGATACTCTTCGTTCTGGGCCAGTTGCTCGATGATGTTGAGCAGCGAAAGCATGAAATCAATGGAGAGATCGGTCGGCTGCTGTCCAAATATTTTGCCCAGGACTTGAGGAATTTGCTCCGACAACAGCTGTGGCGCAGTATCATGGAAAGCGAACTGCAATAGGTTGCTTATCAACGTTGCAGCTTGCTCGCGTGTGCGTATATCAATGCCAGGCTGTGATATAATAGCTAGACAATACCAATAAGAGAAGAATCAATCAGGGGATTCACAAGACGTGTTAACCGTCGTAAAATCTTAATTATCCATATCCTTATCCTTATCCTTATCCTTATCCTTATCCTTATCCTTATCCTTATCCTTATCCTTATCCTTATCCTTATCCTTATCCTTATCCTTATCCTTATCCTTATCCTTATCCTTATCCTTATCCTTATCCTTATCCTTATCCTTATCCTTATCCTTATCCTTATCCTTATCCTTATCCTTATCCTTATCCTTATCCTTA